TGATGTAGCGTGTGATAGAGCGGGGGACTTACTTCATGATGTAGCATGTGATAGAGCGGGGGACTTACTTCATGATGTAGCGTGTGATCGAGCGCGGGACTTAATTCACGATGTAGCGTGTGCAATCGGGCGCGCGGGAGTTACTGCATGATGTAGCGTATGTGATCAGACGCGCGGGACTTACTTCATGATGTAGCGTGTGCGATCGAGCGCGCGGGACTTGATCTTGATCAGGATGGGATGCTGGCTGTAGGTGTCATTTTTCCACTGCGCGTACAGACGATACCTGTACACACATAACACACGGTAGCGTTAGTCTCATGTAAATCAACTCAATATTCACACTTACATTCGCGCTTAGTTGCTAGGGTTTCAGCAGCTAGCATTCAGTGTGTTTCTGGAAATGGCTGTATATATATATATATATATATATATATATATATATATATATATATATATATATATATATAGNTGGGTAGTAGGCGAGTGGGGGGGAACGTTACGGATGGTGTATGGATGGGTAGGCGGGGGTGGGTGGGGGAGTAGAGCGGGGTGCAGGACTTACGTTCAGTGACGTAGGGTGTCGGTTGTGAGTAGAGCGAAGGACGCTGTGGACTTCGATGAGGGGTCAGACCCGGGGGCTTGTTGTTGGTGTAGCAGGATGCCCCGGCGAGACTTACGTTTTCGATGATGTAGGCGGTGGTATAGGTGAGCGGTGATCTTACTTCATGAGGTGTAGACCGGCGTGGTGGAGTAGAGGCGGGGGGGGGGTGGCCGGGACTCTACTTCATGGAGCGCGGTATCTAAGCTGGGGGACTTAACTCATGATGTTAGCACTGTGATAGAGCAGGAGACTTGACTGTTGTTCCATGATGTAGGCGGTGATAGATGCGGGGGGGGGGGGATCTTACTTCATGATGTAGTCCGTGTGATCGAGCGACGGGACTTACTTTCAATAATGTTAGCCGGTGTGATAGAGCGGGCACTCTACTTCATGATGTGATGCGTTGTGGCGCATAGGGAGCGCTGGGGTGGCGGAGGACCTTACTTCATCGATGTAGCCGTGGTGATATGCGAGCGGCCGGACTTACTGTCATGATGTAAGCGTGTGCATAGAGGCGGGGGACTTACTTCATGATGTACGAGGTGTGATGAGAGCGTAAGGACTACTGTCATGATGTAAGCGTGTGATAAGCAGGCTGTAGCTGGTCATGATGTAGGCCGCGTGTGTGTTGATACGAGGGCCTGGGGGACGATACACGGCGCTCATGGAGTCGGTAGGGGCGGGGTGTGCATGAGATGTCGGCGGTGCGCGGCTTGTGGGTATTCTACGATTGCTATGAGTGGGGAGATGGCGTGAGATAGAGCGGCGTGGGACTTACTCATGATGGGGCCTGTGCGTGGTGATAGAGGCGGTTTGAGCTTACTTCATAGGTAACGTGTGATAGAGCGCCGGGACTTACTTCATGATGTAGCCACTGTGATAGAGCGGGGGAACTTACTTCATGATTAGCGTGTGATAGAGCGGGGGACTTACTTCATGATGTACATGTGATAGAGCGGGGATCTTACCTCATGATTATGCGTGTATAGAGCGGGGGACTACTTCATCATGTAGCCGTGTGTGATAGAGCGGTGGGACTAAACTTCATGATTAGTGGTGTGATAGAGCGGCGGGGACTTACTTCATGATGCTAGGCATGTGATAGAGCAGGAGACTTACTTCAATGATGTAGCGTGTGAATAGAGCGGGGAGCTTACTTCATGATTAGCGGTATAAGGCAGGAGCACTTACTTCAGTGATGTAGGCGCGTGTGATAGAGCTGGGGGATCTTACTTCATGATTATGTGTGATACGAGCGGGGAACTTACTTCATGATGTAGCATGTGATAGAGCGGCTTTGCCTGACCTTGACTCTATCATGATGGTATGTCGGTGTGGAGTCAGAGGCCTGGTTGTCGTGGGGCTGAACTTGAGCTTCTCACATGGGATGTACCCTGTGACCGTAAGAGCGTGGGGGCTCTCTACGTTCATTGATGTTAGACCGGTGCTTGTGATAGCAGGGGGGGGGACTATCTTGCCTAATGAATTGTTATGCGTGTTTTGATAGGGCAAGTCGGGGAGACTTACTTCCATTGGATTAGCGTGTGATAGATGCGACGCGGACTTACTTCAGTGATGTGCCGGTGTGAATAGAGCGGGGGACTTACTTTCATGATGAGCCGCGTGTGTAGAAGCGGGACTTACTTCATAATGTAGCGTGTGATAGAGCGGGGGATTACTTTGCATTGATGTAGGCGTGAGATAGAGCGGGGGGACTTACTTCATGATGTAGCGTGTGACAGAGGCGTGGGTGCCGGGTGACTTACTTCAATGATTAGGCGTGGACAGAAGCGGGGGGAACTTACTTCATGATGTAAGCCCTTAGTGAAGAAACGGAGCGCTTACTTCATGATGTAGTGGTGTGATTAGAGCGGGGACTTACTCATGATGTAAGTGTGTGATAGAGCGGGGAACTTTACTTCATGATGTAGATGTGATCGAGGCGGGGACTGTACTCAGATGTAGCTGTGATAGAAGCGGGGGACTTACTTCATGATGGTAGCCACGTGGTGATAGACGGTGGACTTAACTTCATGATGTAGCGTGTGATAGAGCAGTGGACTACGTTCATGATGTAGCGCTGTGATAGAGCGGGGGACTTACTTCATGATGTAGCCACGTGTGATTAGAGCGGGGGGGACTTTACTTTGCATTGATGTAGCCGCTGTTTGTGGATAGAGCGCGGGGGTGACTTACGTCAGTCGAGTATTGTGTTGATCGAGCGGGAACTTACTTCATGATGTAGCGTGATGATAGAGCGGGGACTTACTGTCATGAGTAAGCCGCTGTGATAGAACGGAGACTACATTCATGATGTAGCCGCGTTCGATAGAGCGGGGGACTTTACTTCAATGGATGTGCCACGCTGTGATAGCAGCGTGGAACTTACTTCATGATGTACGCATGTGATAGACGCGAGTGTGACTTAGCTTCATGATGTAGGCGATGTGATAGAGCGGGGGAGCTTACGGTTCATAGATGGAGCCCACGTGTGGTAGAGCGGTTTGGCACTTATTCATGATGTAGCCGCGTGTGATTTAGAGCGCGCGGGAACTATCAGTTCAATGATGTAGTGTGTGTATAGAGCGGGGACTTACTTCAATGATGTTAGCGTGTGATAGAGCGGTGCGGACTGTACTTCATGATGTAGCGTGTGATAGAGCGTGGGACCGTCCTTCAAGCGATTGTATGTAGCGGGTGTATAGAAGCGTGGCGGACTTACGTTCATGATCTAGTCTGTGTGGATAGATGTCGGGCGGGTCCGCTGGGACTTACTTCATGATGTACATGTGATAGAGCGGGGACTTCGCTGGTTCATGGATGTAGGCTTGTGCTGCTTGAGGCGGCTTGCCGGTGGGTTCGGGGGCCGGGGACTTATATTCACCGGGATGTAGCGGTGTGACAACGGCAGCTGGCGGGAGTTACTGCATGATGACGTATGTGATTCAGACCGCGGGCGACTTACTTCATGATTGTAGCGTGTGGCGATCCGAAGGCGGCCGGGGACTTATCTGATCCAGGAATGGGATTGTCTGGCTGTAGGTGTCCATTTTACTCGCGCGTGACAGATCCATACCTGTACACACATAACACCGGTAGCGTTAGTCTCCATGTAACAACTCAATATTCACACCTTACATTCGCGCTTCAGTGCTAGGGTTTCAGCAAGCTAGCTCAGTGTGTTTTCTGGAAATGGCTGTCTATATAATATAATACATATATATATAGATATATATAGTATATAGTACAGGGGTAGAAATGAAAGGCGTCCAACAAACTCTATCTACCGTCCAAACAGTGCCCCAGTGCGACCAGGGCTCATCTTGGTGTCTGGTGGCGCTGATCAAATCATTTGTCATACAAGACGGTCTTATACATAAGTCTTCCTTATTCTTGTTTGAGCTTTCGTAGCCAAATTCGAACAAAGTATATCAGCTACACTTTCGCACCCCCCAATCTCTATGCATTGCGCACATGTGCATTGGCAGGGTTGACAGGCAACAATTATGATAGAAGCGTGCCAGACGCCATGGGCCGCCCCGTGTTTTGGACTACCCAGCACGAGCATCACTGATTCAGCCTTCAGGGTCTATAAGAGCAGACTGCTTAGAAAATAATTATGATTTAAGGAGTGAGGAAACCGTTGTTCCAACAAACATTTGCTTTGCATTAACTGTGCAACTGTAGCCTACACATTCACACAAGGTATGGCTCTAAATAATAGCAAAAGCAGTTCATCCTTTTGTTGAACAGTCCAACAAAGTCAAATGTTTAACCTTCCTGCTCGAGGGTCAAAAACGTTAAATCCGATCACTATACTCTTCGCATGTCAGCGGAAAAGTCATTTCATGGCCTTCTCAATAACGCCATAAAAATGTAAGTCACCTCTGAAAAAAAAAGTTTTCAATCGCTCCGTTGACCATGTCCTGCAGAAAATGTCTAAAATGCTGCTCGTCTGTGCCCCATTCGACCTTTGACCTCGGCTCTAATTTCGGGCACAGTGATGGCTTTACCTACCATGATGCTATACCTCGACTATCACGACGCGCTTAGTCAGGCCGTTAGATTTGTGCGCGCAATCTGCATTCCTTCCCTATACCTCAAGTTAAGGAGGGAATGTTCGCCCTTCCTTTACACCTCTTTGAGGCTTGAACCTTTGACCCCCAGCTTCGGCCAATCCCCAACTTCGGTTTTGGATTACCCCCCACGTCCCGAATATCGCTGAGACCGTACGTCAAGCGGTTAAGATTTGTGTCCAACTGTTGACGCACGAACGCACGGATGGACCCACGGCCGGACAGACGCACGCTCATGCGATTCTAGAAGCTGCATCTGACTATATCATATGAGCTAAAAAGTAATAAAACATCTGGCATCTGCGGTTAATGGCGGCTGGTTGATGAGAAGTGAATTGTCGCGGCTCTTAGTAAATCGTCGGACATCCTGGTTGATGGGTTATTTTGACCAAAAGTTGAAGTAAAGATCCAGCTAACACATACAGAGTATTCCCTGTCTGTTGTTAACTTTTACTATATATATATATATATATATATATACATATAGCAGAAGGCACCATTCTTCCTCGTTCGGTGGCTGCAACAGATGCGTGAGTGAGACTAAGGGTGAAAACACTCATGCTGCTGCCATCGAATGACTCCAGCATTCATTGTTAGCTTCATAGCTTTGTAGCTTCGTGGCTTCATCTAATAACGAGCTCGTCAAATCTATGTGGGGTAATGAGGGCATATAGCCCTGCGGGACTAGGGGCCCTGGGGGACTGAGGGTGAAATGCCACGAACACAGCGACAATCAACATGGTACAGATATTCTCAAAAAAATACGTGGACCCCCCCCCCCCCCCGCGTGAGACTTCGTTTCTCACACGCCTACGACCACGACGCTGCACCACGTGCATGGCGGCGCCCCTACCTGTGCGTGTAGGGCACGTGTTTCAGCATCGTCCACAGCTCCTCGGCCATGCAGCAGTTGCCCTCCATCGTGCTGAGAGAGGGCAGCACCACCTCGTCAATGACGGCAAGAAAGCCGCAGTAGAGCGGCTCCATGTCCGTGGGGCAGCCCGCCATCTTACGCTGCAACAAGAGAACACCTGATAGAGGGCGCTGACGACAGCAACAATAATGCTGGCAGTGGATCACTGCGTAGACTTCGAGGTGAATGTTTTCGAACGAGATGAGCAAGCGAGTGCGGGCAACAACATTTACTCACAACGATTCATCAGCCCCACGACAAGCCTTGACATACAACCGCCATAGGTCCCCTCACCGCCTTCAAAAACCCAAATTAAAATTAATTAAATCTATCAATAAAATCTATCTTATCTAAAACAAACTCGAACTCACCCGACGGTAACGACCCCTGTCGTAACGTGGTGACCTCCCCCGACCCCTGACCCCCTGACCCCAGCCTACCTCCTTCATGAAGGCGGTGCCGAGGCGGATGACCTTGGCGATGAGCACGGGGTCGTGAGCGAGGTAGGGTCCCATCGAGCGCAGGATGGGGAACACCTCAACACGCAGCTCACGGAACTCCCGCACCACCCGCATGCCCTTACCGATCGCTGGCACGGGCGGAGACTTGAAAACGGCCGCGGGGAGGCCGTGGTTCCTGCAACAGATGCAAGCATAGTCAGTTAGTGTCATGTATGTCTATGGGTCTGTGGATGCGTGCGTGCGTGCGTGCGTGCTGTGCTGTGGTGTGTGTGCGTGTACGTGTGTGCGTGTGTGTGTGCGCGTGCGTGCGTGCGTGTGTGCGTACATGTGTGTGTGTGCGTGCGTGCATGCGTGCATGTGTGTAAGTGAAGTGTGCGTGCGTGTGCGTGTGTGTGTCTATGAGTGTCTGTGGGTCTGTGGGTCTGTGAGTGTATTTTTATGTGTGTGTGTGTGTGTGTGTGTGTGTGTGTGTGTGTGTGTGTGTAGTGTGTGTGTGTGTGTGTGTGTGTGTGTGTAGTGTGTGTGTAGTGTGTGTGTGTGTGTGTCGTGTGTGTGTGTGTGTAGTAGTATGCATGCGTGGAAGAAAGATATCAGCGAACTAACAATACAAGCTAATTTAAAAAAATAATCCGCGCAATACTTGAAAAATGTCGCTTATGTAACTAGGATGTAAATCGGTAATAACAATCGCGGAACGAGCGTGGCGCAGCAGACACGCCTGGTGCGTCGCGTCGCCTCCGCACCGCTGCTGCTGCGCTAGGTGGCAGGCTGCGGCGCAGGCAGACCACGCCTGGTCGTCGCGTGCCTCCCCGCTGCTGCTAGGTGCGCTGCGGCGCAGGCAGACACGCCTGGTCGTCGCGTCGCCTCCGCCGCTGCCTGCTTGCTGCTGAGTGGGCTGGCGGCGGCACGGCAGCACCCACGCCGTGTCGTCGCGTCGCCTCCCCGCTGCTGCTAGGTGGCGGCTGCGGCGCAGGCGACCACGCTTGGTCGTCGCGTCGCCTCCCTGCTGCTGCTGCTAGGTGGGCGCTGCGGCGCAGGCAGACACGCTGGTCGTCGGTCATGCCTCCCCGCTGGCTGCTGGCTCTAGGTTGGCGCGCGGTCAGGCAGACACGCTGGTCGTCTGCGTCGCCTCCCTGCTGGCGCTGCTAGGTGGCGGCGGGCGGCGCAGGGCAGACACCCGCCTGGTGTCGCGTCGCCTCCCCTGCTGCCTGCTGCTAGTGGCGCTGCGGCGCAGGCAGACCCGCCTGGCTCGTCGCGTCACCGTCCCGCTGCCTGCTGCTGGCTGCTAGGTGGCGGCTAGCGGCGCAGGCAGCACGGCCTGGTCCGTCGCGTCACCTCCCCCTGTGCTGCTGCTGCTAAGGTGGCGCTGCGGCGCGGCAGGCAGACACGCCTGGTCGTCCGCGTCGCCTCCCCGCTGCTGCTAGTGGCGCTGCGGCGGCAGGCAGACGACGCCTGGTCGTCGCCGTCGCCTCTCCGCTGCCTGGCTGCTGCTAGTTGGCGCTGCGGCGCAGGCAGAAACGACCGCCTGTCGTCGCGTCAACCTCCCGCGCTGCTGCTGCTGCTGGCTAGGTGGCGCTGTGCGGCGCAGGCAGACACGCCTGGTCGTCGGCGTCGCCTCCCCGCTGCCGCTGCTAGGTGGCGCTGGCGGGCAGGCAGACACGCCTGAAATTCGCGTCGGCGCCTGCCACGCTGCTGCTGCTAGGTGGCGCTGCGGTGCAGGCAGACACTGCTGGTCGCGTGTGCGTCGCCTCCCGCTGCTTGCTAGGTTCGGGCGCTGCCGGCGCAAGGCAGACACGCCTGGTCGTCGCGTCGGCCTCCCCGCGCTGCTTAGGTGGGCGCTGCGGCGTCAGCACACACGCCTGGTCGTCCGCGTCGGCCTTTCCGCGCTGCTGGCTGGCTGGCTAGTGGCGGCTGCGGCGCAGGCAGGAACACGCCTGTCCGTCGCGTCACCTCCCCGCTGCTGCTGGCTGCTGCTAGGTGGCGCTGGGCGCAGGCAGCACGCCCTGGCGTCGGGCGTCGCTCCCCGCTGGCTGCTGGCTGGCTAGCTGGCCGCTGGCGCGCCGGCAAAGACACACCTGGTCGTACAGCGTCACCTCCCCGCTGGGGCTGCTGCTAGGTGGCGCTGGGCGGCAGGCAGACACGCCTGGCTATGCGCGTCGCCTCGCCCGCTGCTGCTGCTAGGATGGGCGCTGCGGTGCAGGCAGACACGCGCTGGTTCGTCGCGTCGGCCTCCCCGCTGGGCGCTAGGGTGGCGCTGGCGGTGCAGGCAGACAGGCCCTGGTGCGTCGCGTCGGCCTCCCCGCTGCTGGTAGGTGGCGCTGCGGCGAGCAGACCACGCCTGGTCGTCGCGACGCTCCCGCGCGCTGCTAGGTGGCGCTGCGGTGGCAGGCAGACACGCACTGGTCGTCGCGTTCGGGCCTCCCGCGCTGGCTGCTAGGTGGCGCTGCGGCGTCAGGGCCAGACCGCCTGGTCGTCTGCGTCGCCTCCACGCTTGCGCGCTGCCAGTGGCGCTGCGGTGCAGGGCAGCACGGACCGGTCGTGCGCGTCGCTCCCGCGCTGCTGGTCTAGTGCTGCCTGCGGCGATGCAGACAGAGCCCTACGGCCCTCGGTCGTCGCGTCGCCTCCGCCTGCTGCTGCTGCTTTGCTAGGTGGCGCTGCGTTGCGAGCAGAGACGGCCTGGTCGTCGGCGTCGCATCGCCCTCCGCTGCCGCTGCGCTGCTGGGGGGTTCGCTGCGGCGCAGGCAGACAGCGCCCTGGTTCGGTCGCGTCACCTCCCCGCTGCGCTGCTAGGTGGCGCTGCGGCGGCAGGCAGACAAGCCTGGGTCGTCGCGTCGCCTCCACGCTGCTGCTGCTGCTAGGTGGCGCTGGGCGGGGCAGGAGCACCAGCCTGGTCGTCGCGTCACCTCCCCGCTGCTGCTGGCTGCTGCTAGGTGGCGCTCGGCGCAGGGCAGACGAAACGCGACCTGAGTCCGTCGGCGTCGCCTCCCCCTGTTCTGCTAGGTGGCGTGCAACGCAGGCAGACACA